GAGATGGCCAGTTCATGATATATCTGCGATTGCTAGGAGTCTTACCTGGGGTCATCCTTAGAGATTCTTGGGAGAGTCCCTTGCGCCAAGTTCTTACCTGTCCCTGAAATGCCCCTCTTTTTCGGTAGTCTCTATTAGTATTCTCCCCCTCTATTCCCCGCTCCTCAACCTGATCTCTCACGGCTCCATCCCCATCTGCACTCAGTCCACTCACAAAATCTCTCCTAGTTCCCCTTCCCAGGGAGATCCAGGCTTCCCCCCATGAATCCTCTTTGTTACCCAGTCTCTTTGGGTCTGTGGATTGTGGTATAATTATCCTTTATTTTTCAATTAATATCCACTTACAAGTGAGCACATTCAGTGAATCTGTTTCTGGGTCTGGGTTACTTTACTCAAGATGATTTTTTTTTCTAGTTCCATCTATTTGTCTTCAAATTTCATGATGGTATTTTCAAAAGATTTATTTATTTATTTTACGCATATGAGTGCTCTATCTGCATGTACACATACATGCCAATAGAGGGCATCAGATCCCACTAAAGGTTGCCTGAACCATCATGTTGCAGGGAATTGAACTCAGAACCTCTGGAAGAGCAGAGAGTGTTCTTATCGACTGAGCCATGTCTCCAGCCTAATGTCATTGTTTTTTTTTGTTTTTTTTTGTTTTTTTTTTAACAGCTGAGTAGTACTCCACTGTGTAAATGTATCACATTTTCTCTATCCATTCTTTGGTTGAGGGACAACAAGGTTGTTTCCAGGTTCTGGCTATTACAAATCAAGCAGTTATGAATATAGTTGAGCAAGCGTCCTTGTGTTATGATTGAGAATCCTTTGGGTATATGCTCATGTCGTATAGCTGGGTCTTATGATAGGCTGGGGGGTCAGTTTTCATACTTGCTAATGAACTTACTTTCCTTTTTATTGCAATCTCTTTTCTTTCTTTGTATTTGTGGTGCTGGAGATTGAACCATAGCCTCATACAAGCTAAGCTTGTGTTCTACCATTGAGTTCCCCTCTCAACCCTGTTACACAGTTTTAACAGCACATTCTTTATTAAAAATTTTTATTGATATTTACTGAGCTCTACATTTTTCTCTGTTCCCCTCCCTGCCTTTCCCCTCCCCCTTCAACCCTCCCCCAAGGTCCCCATGCTCCCAATTTACTCAGGAGATCTTGCCTTTTTCTACTTTCTACTTCCCATGTAGATTCGGTCTATGTAAGTCTCTCTTAATGTCCTCATTGTTGTCTAAGTTCTCTTGTATTGTATTTTGTAGGCTGGCTTTCTTTGCTTTGTGTTTAAAAACCACCTATGAATGAGTACATGTGATAATTGTCATTCTGGGTCTGGGTTACCTCACTCAAAATAATGTTTTCTAGCTCCATCCATTTTCCTGCAAAATTCAGAATGTCGTTATTTTCTTCTGCTGTGTAGTACTCCATTTTGTAAATGTACCACATTTTCCTTATCCATTCCTCGATCGAGGGGCATTTAGGTTGTTTCCAGGTTCTGGCTATGACAAACAAAGCTGCTATGAACATAGTTGAGCACATGTCCTTGTGACACGATTGAGCATCCTTTGGTAGTGGTTAAGAGCGTGCATTGGTCTTGCAGAAGATCTGAGTTCAGTTCCCAGTACCTATGGTAGCTCACACTAGCCTGCAACTCCAGTTCCAGGAGTTCCAGAAGCCTCTGCAGGCACCTGCACTCAAGTGCACACAAACCACATATACACACATGCATATACAAAAAAATATTATTTTCTTTTAAAAAGTAGACACTTCATATAAACTTTCACACCAGTGTTCATTGCAGCTTAATTCACAATGGTCAAAAGATACAAAGGGGCTGGAGAAATGGCTCAGCAGTTTAGAGCCCTGGCTGCTCTTCTAGAGTGCCTGGGTTCAGTTTTCAGCAACCACATGGTGGCTCACAACTAACTGTCCACGACTCCAGTTTCAGGGGCTCCAACACACTCATACATAGGCAAAACCCCAACACACATAAAATAAAAATAGTGATAAATATTATTAATAATAAAAAGATACAAATAGGAGCTGAGAGATGGCTCAGCAGTGCACAATACTTGCTGCTTGCAGAGGACTTAGCTTTAGTTTTCAGCACTCACGAACCTGGCAGCTCCTAACTACCTGTAACTCTGGTTAGAGGGGAATGTAGGCTCTCTTATGGCTTTCACACATATCAGAAACACAAGCGGTGCACATACATAAATGCAGGCCAACAACATACACTTTTTCTTTTTTCTTTTTTTTGGTTTTGGTTTTTGAAGACAGGGTTTCTTTGTGTTACAGCTCTGGCTGTCCTGTAACTCACTCTGTAGACCAGGCTGTCGTCAAACTCTCAGAGCTCCACCTGCCTCTGCCACTCGTGAGTGCTGGAATTAAAGGTGTGCGCCTCCACCACCTGGCTACATAATTTTTTTTTTAAAAGAGAGAAGCAAACAACCCATGTCTTTTATCAAATGAACCAATGAACAAAAAACTGCATATGACTGAATAGCACTCAGCTGTAAAAAGGAGCAAGGTTCGGTTCTTGGATGTGGTGCAGTGTGTTTCCACCTTGAATATATACAAGAAATAAACTAGTCATAAGGGACACTTCTTACATGATTCCATTTACACGGAATACCCAGAGTAGGCAAACTCGCAGACATTAATAGCTAATTAGAGGCGATCTTGGCTTGGACTGAGGCGGAAACGAGAGCCATGGATGTCCCGCGCTACCGTCTCGCCAGCAAGAACCATGTGGTACACATAGGATCCTTTTGTAGAAAAGCTTTATGTCTCTTGGGAGCTAGAGCATAAGCCATATGGCGGAGACCCCGAATGAGGGGAACCCAGCCCTTATAAAGGAAACAGTCCTCGCTTTTGACGTGTCACTTTTGGATTGGTCCACTGCCCATTATCCCAGATGATGCCTCGGGAGTAGGCAGGGACGCAGCGGTAGAGAGTTACCAAGCACGTGTGCTGGGATTAAAGGCGTTTAATCACCTTGAACTCACAGAGATCTGCTTGTCTCTGCCTCCCAGGCATTGGGACCAAAGGCGTATACTATCACGCCTTGAGGTCATAGAGGTCAATCTGCCTCTGCCGCCCAGGCATCAGGACTAAAGGCGTGTACCGCCACACCTTGGGGTCATAGAGGTCAATCTCTACCTTTGTTTCTAGAAGCAATGGAGAATGTGGTCCGGCCCTCCACACATGGAAGTTTTCAAAGGGACTAGTGGTGATGGCAGCAGGCACTGTGAACGTAGCTAGTGCCACTGGATCGCACGTTTAAAAATGGTTAAAACTGTTTGGTCACAAAGCAGGTGGCAATGTGGGTAGTGCTGCTGACGAAGTCCTGCAATGGTAACTCCAACCAGGCCAGAGTCTTTCCTCTTTCCGAGCAACCAGAGGAATTGTTTTTGGGTAAACAGAAACCTCAACCCAGCCTTGCTGTTTAAGAGGATCAGTCAACTACCTCAGGGAAAGGCATCTTGTTTCAGATGCTTTGTTTCAATTTGCAACAGATCCAAATCCCTACACTAACACCTAGGCAGGCTGCAGCTACCTTCCCAATAAAACTGACAAGGCTTATTTCTCCGGCTGGTGTTCTCTAGTCTCAGAGTCAGTCTGGCAGTTTGTCTCCCAAACAACTTGTCTTTCTACCCAAGTTCAATGGTTTTATTGTGCCCTTGCTTACGAGAATAGCGACTTTTATGGGATAATCTCATTCAGTAGTTTTTGGGTTTTGTTCTTTCAAGACAGGGTTTCTCTGTGTAGCCCTAACTGTCCTGGAACTCACTCTGTAGACCAGATTAGCCTCGAACTCTGGGATAGACTGCCTCTGCTTCCCAAGTGCTGGGATTAAAGGCGTGGGCCCCCACAGCTCGACAAACAAAAGATTTTTTTAAAATTAAGTTTTCATTAGCAGCATGACTTAAAATAAGAAAAAATACAAAACAAAACTAGAAAACACTTGGAGCAACCTAAAACTCAACAGTTGGACATCACACAGTATTAAAACCATAATTGCGTGAGAACATGGAAACAGACTACTTTGTATCATTCAATAAACTAAAAAAAAAAATATGCATTGCCTTTGAAAACGTGGGTAAAGCCCACAATACTTAGGTGACAGTTGGCGGAGTGAGTCAAAATAACTTTCTCCAATAATAGTGACATACTTTATCAAGAATTAAACTGAAATAATACAGTATGATCACAAGGTCAATGATCCAGAGCAAAGGCAGCGGACCTCCCAGGAAGCCGAGCGACGTGAAGACTAGTAGCTAGGATGGGTGTTCCAAGGACCTGTGCAGGTTGGGGACAGTCGGGAGCATCTCCGGCAGAGGCCCTGGGCTCTCAATACTGCAGAGCTCTCTCTCTCTGCCCCAGACACTGCACCAGCGCGCTCCACCGAATTATCTCTCGGCTTCCACGCGGACCTCAGAAGTCCTTCCACCTTCGGTCCCCACAGCATGCCTCCCAGCCACCCCCAATCCCTCCCCACCCTGCCTGCCTTCGCCACCCGACCCGGGGCTCCTAATCCCGCCCCGCCCGCTCA